ACCGGAAACTTGTTTTCGCCACGAAATCCATCTTCACCGTCATTATATTTATATATCTAGTAATATTGCCATCAACAACTGTGTTGGGAATTGCTTCACTTGTTGGAGGAATTAGGAGGGACGAGACCCTGACAGCCGCAATAACAAGCTTGTTTGCAGCAGTTGATTGGCGGGGGATTGAGGTATATAGAAGTTTCAATCATTCTGTGGCGGGGGGAATTTGATATATTTGGTGTTGGTAAAAATCTTCCATTTGTCATGACCATTTTAATTTGGTTGTCGTAGTTCAAACTAATGGCTGGGAAATGTAGGTGATTGGTCGCCATAAATATAAATGACAACCAATTTACGTAACTATTAGCAAAATATTTTTTTGGCCGGCCATAAGAATCCGTTGTGAAAAACACATACCTCAACCAATTAAAGCACTCTGGTGACCAATAGTATTAGTTATGTAAGTTTTAACGCAACCTTAAAAATTGGTCGTCAAAAACACATTTTTTGGCCATTCATATCATTTTTGGCAACTATTCATTTTGTTATGAAATTGTTATACAACCATAAAATTTGGTCGTCAAAGATCCATATGTCGACCAATCTTCTTATTTTAGGTACTAATTTTGTTAGTTGTAAAAGTTTAAGCCGACCAAAAAAAATTCATTTCATATGACTGATTTGGTCGATGAGATTTTGGTCACCAGAATAAAAATATTAAAAATAAAAAAATTTATAATAAAAAAATAAAATAAAAAATTGTTTAGTAAACAAAATTATAATTCTACAATTTATTATTTAGTAACCAAATCACAATTACACAATGTTAACAATTTTCTGAAGAAAATCACTGTTGCCATCACTCAGAATGTAGAGGGAGTCTGTGATGATTGTAGCCGACTTGTTTCTGGCAATGATCCGGGGGATCTTTAGCTGCATCTTCTTGCTTTTGTTGTCGACTATCACTATCGTGATCATAGTTAGAGGCTTAAAGCTCACGAACTAGATGATTACATTTTCGAGTTTCCTGGCAGAAAAACAAGCAACCTCCCTACTCCGTCCATGGTAAAGGGAAACAAGCATGCAGAGCAGTGAGATTAGTTATTAAACATCAATACAATTACAATAAAATAATTTAGTTGTTAAGATTTTTTATTGAATTTAAAACCAAATTATTTAGTTGGAAAAAATGAAAATTATTTTTTTATCAAATTATTTGGTTGTAAAAAACTAAAAATCACTTTGATACCAAAATTATTTGGTTGAAAAAAGTATAAATCATTTTGCTACCAAATTATTTTTATTAGTGAAGCGGCTTTGATACAAATGAGGTGTTCTGTTCATATCTTAAACTTGATTGTGAAGGATGGATTGGATGTTGTTAAAGAGGGAATATGTATCATTAAGGACAGTGTTTGTACTGGTCTGCTACCCGTAAAAGGGTGGAATATTTTTTTAAAAGAAACCTCAAAATAATTGAAGTTCAGTTGTGATAAAGGGCTTGTTATGTATTGTGATAAACATTATTTTTTATAAAATGGTGATCAATTGCATTGAAGTAAAACACCAAGTACAATACACCAGATAAAAAGAAACCAAACCAAAAAGGAAAAAAAAAAAAAAAGGACCCAAGAAGAAAAAGAAAAAAACACACAAGTCCAACAGGTCTTCTGGGCGGGTTCATTGCTTGTGATAAAGTTTATTTGCTCTATACAAATGCTTGCCTTTGACTGAGCACTGACAATTTGATGCACTTGTTTGTGATAAACTTTGGTGTTTTTGCTTGGTATCTGATATGTTCTCTGGTTCAAAAAATCCAACAACAAATTTGTTCTTGCCTCGTATTTGTGATTTGAGGCTGAAAATGTATGCGTGGTGTTTTGATGTTAATGATGTGATAATAAAGATGGTTGGTTGAATAGGTGGAGGGAGAGCACCTGGGATGTGTCCCAGGACATAGGTGAATTCTGGGAGTAAAAAAAATACCCTATTTATGTCCGAAGCAACCTTCAATCACATGACATCATTTTTGTATAAGATTGTTCTGCCACTACACCACCACTCATTACTTGTTTAATACTAATAAACGAAATTCCAAATTAAAATCCCTAATCAATATCTCTCTCTTTCGGGAATTCCTTTCTTCTTTCAGAACCAGAAACGCGGGTTGCCTGCAGCCGCAGCGAACGAATCCATTCCTCCCTTCCCTTCAGCCGCGGCGTCAACGCCGGTGAACTCCGTACCCCTCGTCAGCGGCCTTTGCTGCTTTTGATCAGTGGAAGTTGTTTAGTCTTACTAGATTTTATCCTGATGAATTTGGTTCCATTCATGATACAATCATTCGACAACAGCTTGTTGGGTATGGCTGGTGAGAGATTTAGCGTGTTGAAAGGAATTGATGAATTATCTCAAGTTATGGTGAAGACAAAAGTGAATATGTCATATCTGTCAACTTATTTACTTCTGAAGCTAGTTTTGATTCTAACTGTTGCAACTGCAAGTGTAGAACGAGCATTTTCAGCTTTGAGCTATATTAAGAACAAACTTCGAAGTTGAATTGGTGATCAATTTGCTAATGATTTTTTAGTTGGATAGTGTGGAATATTATGCTGAAAAGTATGGAGATGATGGTTCTTGTTTGGCATCTATTAAGGCATATTTTCTTATATGGTTTTAGAGTACCAAACCAGAATGAATGATAAGAAGACTTTGGATGTTTCTTGGGGTGTTAGTCTTCTACTCCTACTACCATTGATCTAGACTTTTGACTTTTTTGTGAGTCAAAGGAAAAAAGGCAAGGGTTACTGTTGTCCAAAGTGAATTGGACAATTACCTCAATGAGGAATTCTCGCTCATTCAGCTGAATTTGATATCTTAATGTGGTGAAAACTTAGTGGCCCAAAATATCCCATATTACAAGTCATAGTGAGAGATGTTCTTGCTATTCTAGTTATCTCTATTGCATTTGAGTGTGCATTTAGCTCTGGAGGTTGTCTGTTGAATCCTCATAGGAGCAAACTAGACGATGATACTGTAGAGATACTTATGTGCACAACAACCTGGTTGCAAATAATTTGACTGATGGTAATTTATTCGAAACCTGATATGTTTACGCTTCCCATCATTATTTGCATCAAACTTGTTCTAAACTTCGATTGTAATTTTTTGTACTTGCAGAAGCTACTGTTGCAGGAGTGCTAGAAGGATGTTTCTCCTCCCCAATCGAAGGCAATTCCATCTAACCTGATGCTGAAACTGAAGGTAACAAACTACCTTCTAATATTGTATTTGTTAGTTGTAGCATGCAAGTTTTATTCGGCATTTATTATTGAAATGTTAATATGTTATGTTTAAACGTGTAGATCAAGTTCAGGGGTTCAAGGTTCTTGAAGATTAGCCAACCTTTGTGATGTTATATTCACCATTAAGGTATTAGTCTCAAGTATGATTCTCTAAGTTGGTTTAGCTATTTGAGCAAGCTTGCAAGAACATGAATGCTGAGTTCAATTGATATGAAATTGTTTGTGGGTCGCTTTGATCGAATGCTTGTTGCTGTGGTGCTTGGTGATTTTCGTGATTGTTGATGGTTGTTGTTGGATATTTCTTTTGCTGGAGTCGGGAGTCCTCTCAAAGTTGCTTGTTGTTGTTGGAGTGTAGGGGCGACTTCGTGACTGTTGCTATCTCGCTCGTTGTTGCTGGATCTTTCTTTTTGCTGGAGTGGAGTCTTCTCAAAGCTGCTACTACATGGAGTTCGGGTTTTGATGTTTTTTTTACCAAGGTTAAGACTATGTAATTTGTTTGATTTTTGATTGAATAATGGTCCTGTTCTTCGATGGTTTCCTTGGCTCGAAAAGTTTTTTTTTCTTTTTTTGCTATTGCCCCAGTTGAACAACCCTAGTGCGGTAGTGCTATTGTTCTTTGAATATATTATCTATTTTTCAAGTTTAAGTTAATGAATCTTAGTTGATTTCTCTAAGTTATCTATTATGTTCAGATCAAGTTCGGATCCCCCGACCAATCCGAACTCCGACAACGGGCGGGGGTGGTATTTAGTTTATACCCAAATACTTGCATCGGCCACGTTTTAGCCAAATTCGACCATCAAACGGGCAGATAACGGATCCACATAGATCCGGGTACAATCCACCCTATTGCCAAGCCTAGTTAGAAATGATTTCCGAATCCAAGAAATTTTAGTATCCAAACATTAGAATTGATTTAAAATTTAAAAATAGGAAATGGAATTCCAAATCCTATAAATTCTATCATTCCAAACAGCCAGTAAGACTGTCCACAACTTTAGGGCTAAAATGGCAAAATGACCTTTTAGCCCCACTCAATTGTCTTCAACCATGGGGCATAAATGGGGGGTAAAAGGGCAAAGGGGGTTTTAAGGGCTAAAATGACACTTTTTGGGTGGGGGGCAAAATAGGGGCTATATGGTGGGACCCGCCAGCCAGCCACTCAATCCTCTTTTTAGTTTTTTATTTTGTATTTAAATGTTTTTTTGGTGTTATTTAAGGCAACAAAATTGATTTCGATGATATTTTAGTCCGTTCGATTTCAATTTGAAGACCAAAAGTTAGATTCAATGAACAACTTTCAACGAACAACAAAAGTATCTCATAAAGTGATTAATTAAATGATTTCTTAAAAATTATAAAATTAGGAAAGTTCGTCCATGTCAACTAAAAACAAAAGTATCTTCGGAATTGTTCAAAATCTTGAAAAAAATTATGAACGAAGCTCATTTCGTCTAACTTTTTCCATTTCAACTAAAAAGAAAGTATCTCGAAAATTGCTCAAATTTTATCGGAAAGTTCGTATCGCATTATCATGAATGAATATATAAATTTTAAATTAAAAACTACAAGTTTAAATATTAATAAATTATGATTAATAAATGCAAAACAGAAAATTATAACCCAGGATTGCAGCCGTTTCTGTTTTCGAGAAGGCTAAAAGGCCAAAATAGTTATAAAATCCTCAATCTTTGCCCTACCGATTGTGGTTAGCCTAAGTTGTGGCTTCTTATCACTAAACGTATTAGGCCTGCGCCAACCTAAAGCCCAGCCCATCAAAAGGAAAGCTACCTATTGAACCCATCTTCTTGGTTTTGATTCCGCAGAATATAAATTAAGACGGCACCGCCTGGCGGCGGCGGGTGGAGGAGGAAGAGGACACTCGCTTCATTTCTCGCAAGGGTAAAAGAGGCTACCAGAGATTCGAAAATCGGACGGAAATGGGGATTGTGGCGGCAATAGGTGTGTTACTGCCGTTCCCATTCTACTACTTTCTGTGGACAAACCCACAGGCATGGGTTAACCTTTGCGGGAGAAGTCGGGACCCGAGCAAGGTCATGGCTCAAGTCTCTCACTTCCTCAAGCTTCTCCAGTTCATATCTCTCTACTCCGTCTCTTCTTCTCTTTCATGGCCCCCTCCTTTCTACTTCTGGCCGCTCTTTGGCTTCGGCCAGTTCCTCAATTTCAGGTGTCTATATGGTTTTTTTTTTCTTCTTCTCTATTGTTTGTGGGTTTTCAATGGAATCTGCTGTGCTCTTTTGTACTAGAGTAAAGATTCAAGCTTTACATGCTTTTTCGAATTTCTGAAGTAGTTTAAATTAATGTTGTAAAATTGCAGGGTGTACCAATTGCTTGGAGAAGCAGGGACTTACTATGGTGTGCGGTTCGGGAAGATCATCCCCTGGGTGACTCAGTTTCCATTTGGGGTTATAAGAGATCCACAGTATGTTGGAAGCGTTATGAGTCTGGTGGCTTGTCTAGCTTGGTTTCCATTTCAGTACATCTTGTTATGGTGCTTGGGCTATCTGTTCATCAGCTTTGTGGAGTCCAAAGAGGATCCTGCAACTCGTGCTAAGCCGCTTGCTTGAGTTAAAACAAGTTTCAGATTCGATTAACACAGATTTTGAAGAGGCAAAGGGATACTTCTTTCCTGGAGTTGAGAAGGTTGAAATGTGCTATACCCCTGACAATTTCATTTACGGGTTGTGCTCTCAATAACAAGTGTGATGGCCACTAGAGAGTAGAGAGCCTACTGATTTCCTTTTAGGTAGGTTTTCTGGAAATGACTCTAGTAGCAGAAAGTAAGCAGTAACCTGTTAGGTCTAGGTAGGCTGTCTTACATTTTTACTGTTTTTTAGTCCATTTGCTTGGAACACTGAGGATAGCAGCATTTATGCATGCTTTTGTTTCGTATGAGTTGAGAGTATTACTAGCCTCTGACTTTCTTGGATGACATGTCTGTGCATATACATGTATCTAAAACGGTCAAGAAGTGCCTTTTATGAGAAACAAGATGCTGGGAAATCTAACATGTGTATCCTAGACCAGAGCAAGTGGGAGATCAAAAGCTTTCTTGGCTAGGATTACAACAGCTCCAGCATCTATGTCTTTTAGTTTGCCGGTTTTGGATGATATAATGGTGCATTTCTTCTCTTCTGCATTTGGGACGAACAGTCTCCCCTTCTCCTCGGAAGAAAACAGCGCAATGCTGCCAAAAGAAAAGAAAAGTAAGAGCGGCATATAGGCACGCATGATTTATAATCCGTTTCAGATATTGATTAGTTCTATTCTACCCTCTTTTTCAATTTGAAGATTCTACCTGGGTTTCCCGCGGGCATTTGCTAGTTGGATCGCTGCTGTGTTTGTAGCTATTACACCAGCAGAGTCGTTTACAAGAGCAGCCAGCTGAAAACCGCATTACAGAGACTCAAGATCAAGCCATGAGTAGAACTTATGCAAGCCATTGGTACTACTAGATTGGGGCATTTAGTTTTTGCAGGTTTTTAGTTAGTACCTGTCCAGGAGTTGTGATCAAGACTATACTTGGATCATCCACTACTTCCTCCACATTTTCCCGTACTTTCTCATGTGGAATGACAAAAACTGGCTTCAACCCTCTGTTTCCCACAAGAACACATATATATCAGCACTTGTTTGGTGGTCAGGCTTTTCCAATTCTGGTCAAGATTTCAGTACCTTATAGACTCGGCAATGTCGGCCCATGTATCAATGGACAGCAAGCTATCAGTGTCCCCTCTGGACTGCATGGAAGCCTTGGAATCCGATTCAATCCCATGAATCACAACATACTTTCCTGTCTCAGCACCAGCAGCCTTGTATTTGGCCTCCACCACCTCCTTCACCTTCCTGGAAATGGAAACTTTCAGCGGAGGAACAGGTGTCCTCGGCACACTCCGAAACGGTTTCCCCAGCCAATCCAGCATCTCGTGGTACCTGATGAAGTCGAATAGTTAGAAAAAAACCCGTGCATATCAGTCATGCCTTCAAAACTGGCTCATTGGTCCTGAAAACTTTACTCACATGTGGAATCCTCCTTCAGAGAGGTTCAAACTCTCTGGAGTGAATGTCTCTGATAGAAGAAGCCCTGCCCCAGCCGCATTCACATTCGGGTACACGTAGCTGACTCTATCTCGAGCCGTCGACAGGAAGAGGAAAGTTGCATGTCCAAACCCAGCTAGCTTTGTTGATAAGATCATGTCATAGTACCTGCCCTGCATTCATGAACAGTCTACACAGCTTTAAAGGTACGCATGGAAATTGCAACCTTTGTCAACTACAGACGCCAACCGCAATGCAGAAGAAACCAACTGACCCTAATAATTCCAACCATATCCATGTACTCTGCTGGTTCAGGGAAATCATCATCCGGGTCATAGGCATTAGCCCACCTCACATTCTTGTTCAGCTCATATGTCTGTTTCCCTCTATCAGATGTAATCACATCTACTTGAACACCAGGGTACCTAAAACAAACAAACAGAAGAACAATAGCACAAAAGGTTTTCCAATCACATTTCGTTATTTTGTCATCAGCAAACCTGAAGATCCCTTCACCTGTCCTTGATGAGCTGAATGACAGGGAAGAAGAGCAAGTTCTCATAAACACCGCCAGAGATGACACAGCAGCATCTCCTCACATCACCTCGAACTTTCAAGGCAAGGGAGGCAATCTCGACGCTATAGCCAGCAGGGAACTTGAGGAAGCCATAAGGGTTGTTTGGGTTATCAGGTGGCCTGGGGTCTTCATCTTGCTTCCCATCAGCAAAGAGGGAACCATACTCCTGTTCCGGGTCCGGACCATCGTCGAAAGGGTCCAGCCATGGATTCTTCTTCTTGGCGTGCACTTTGTGGCTCTGACTCGGCTGTGGTTTTCTCAGTGTATACAGATGGTTTGGTAATGGTGGGTTCCTGTTGAATTGAGATGGCGTAAGGGAATGAGATGGGTTAAACTGTGAGATGGTTTTTGGAAGTAGACAAGTTGACGCCATTAGTGTGGTTTCTTGGGCTGTGAAAGTACTGGCCAGTAGTGGCTACTAGTCCTTGCTGGTCTTTGGTGGAACGAACCACGGGATTGAAGAAGTCCATATTGTGTGGAGGATAGATGGATAGAGGAGGGTCCCAGTCCCAGTATATGAGATGGAAATTTGTGTATCTTTCTTTGTTTCTATTAGAGGAAAAAGCTCATACTCAATGTTGTCTGGACGATCTGGTAAAAAGACATTGTTGCCAAGATGGCAGATATAAATTTGTTCTAAATAGTAAGATGGTCATTTACTCGAAACCCTAGCGAGAGTTAACTAGTCAATAAGCAGCTAGCTACATAGCAGAATATACAGGTCACGAATTCCTTTAATTTCATATCAGTGTACAATCTGGATTTATAGAATCGATAAATTAGGGCCCTGCTCTATCCATCGCCCCCAAGGTCCTCCATGGATATGGATAATCGAAGGAACAATTCAACAAATGTCACAAACTGCAATAGTAGCATGTTGCAGCATCCAATTCAAAATGAAACAATGACCCGCAGCCCATAACAGAATAGTAGAAACATATCGACGAGTTGCACTCCACACTGGAGAATCAGGATCATAGCATCATATCGACAGAAGTAGAAGAGTATCATTCTGAATCCGAATGTGTTAATCATACTTTGTGCGTAAATATTTAAAGTGGGCTTGGATGGTCATAATAGGTTGTTGATAAATTTTAGTTACCTGATTCAACGAAAAGAATTTGGTTGCATGGTTACAGGTGCGTGGGCACTGGGCCGTGGCACGACACGGTTAGAGCACGGGCACGAAATAAATGGGCTTGTCCGACACGAGCACGAATAATTTATGGGTCGTGTCGGGCCTAAACTTCATGGGCACGAGCACGGGCACGGCACGGTATATAAGTGGGCCGTGTCGGGCCCAATATTTTCGAGACTTTATTGAGTATAAGAACGGACATGGCACGAAACTAATATTTATTTGATAGAAAATAAATATAAAAAGAATTATAGGTTCAAATATTACAAAACACAAGTAGAAAAATAATTATTGTTGTTGTTAGAAGTGTCATAAAGATATATACGTAATTACTAACATAAGTAAAAATGGACATAGAATTAAACAAAGCCAAATCACAATCGCTATACTTCCAATTTTCTTTTCCCCCTTATTTGTTACTTTTCTCAAACATTATCGGTTAATATTATCTTCCTCCGTCCAATTTTCACCTTCTTTTTCATTCTCTCCCTTGTTTTCGTCCTTTTCATTAAACACGAATACGAGCATGGCACGATTCGAACCGTGCCCGTGCCTGTGTCGGGCCTAGCAAAGTTAACAAATGGACTTGCATGACACGACACGAAATAAATGGGCCCAAAGCGTGCCCGTGTCGTGCCGGCCCAAGCACGGCCCAACGCCCATGTACAGTTACAGGCTTACATACAGCTTAACCCATAATGTTGTCTAGAACCCTATCAATGCATATTTTTTTTTATCTTCACATTAAGTATCTAATGACATTTATGCATCCTCTAAATTGGAAATTAAGGTACTTAGACTATTTAACCTTTTCATCTCTTCCTTCTCAAGATAGGCTAATGTGTGACTTATAACACGTTAAAACTTATTTGGTAAATTATCGATCGTGTCCATCCATGATGCGGTTGAGTTATGTCTGGTGACCATAGTTTGATCACTCTTTATTGGTATCATCAACATGCTTGTTTTACGTGGGACATGGGAAGAACACGTGGAAAGTATCGGATCTGTTTCGGATGTTTATCTTATATAAACAAGTGTTTTATGACAATTTATATTTTCGTGGATTTTATCGTGAGTATAATCATACACGAAAATAATATTAGTTCAATCAATAGATTTATTTGTAATATGAAATTAGTGTTCAAGACGACGCGCCTAGGTGGGTGCCTAGGCGCGATTACTTGCTGGGCATGGAGGAAACGTGGAGAATTGGTCTGGGAGGATGACCTGGGTGCACAAAACGCAGAATCAAGCAGCAAAACGCCTAGGCGGCGATTAGGCGTTGGGAATCACGATTCCCATCTGTTGGAGACGCCGAGGGTAGGAAGTAAAGGGGGAAGTTGTTCTCCTTTAACCCAAAACCCAACTCTAACAAGCCATTAATTCATTCGACTTTTCCAGGGAGAGCAGCAGCCGCAACGAGCAACCGGCGCCGTCCTCCACGCGAGCGACCAGCCACACTGTCCTCGCCGTTAGACTCGCCATCGACCAGCGTCGCCGTCCTCGCCGCCAGACTCGCCATCGACCAACGCCGTTCTCGCCTTCGTCCCGCCGGTCGTCCTCGCCCTCTCTCGCCGGTCGCCATCATCGATACACCACAGCGGGTCGGCGACCAGGTGAGAATGGTTTGGAATTTTTTGTTCTGTCATATGTGGTGGGTAGTTGATTGATGGTAGGGATGAGATTTAGGGAATAGAATGGAGTTAATTGGTGTTTGAGGAAATAGAAATGGAAGAAGCAGGAGAAGATTGCTATATAAAAGTCCGAAAGAACAACAATATATTCGAGGAAAAGGGGAGAGTTGGGGGGAATGAATTGATATATATATATAATTAAATGTGAATGTGACTCCCAATTTTGTTTGTTTAAGGGCTGTTATGACTATTATGTTTGATTTTGCATGCTAAACTTAAATATTTATCACATTTTTTTCCGACGTTTAATCTCGCCTAGGCAGCGACTAATCGGTCTGGGCGTTGGGCGGTGCCTCCTCGCTTAGATGGCGCCCAGCGTCTTCTTGAACACTGTAATGAAATAATGACATCTATGATACCTTGACTCTTATCTAGACAAACAATCATTAAAACAATACTAGTATGACTATATTTGTAGAAAAATGATAAGTGGTTGGCATTCGACCTATTGAATCATAGTACACCTCTTCAAATGTGACATAATAATATCTATAAGTTGGCCGTCCTCAAATTGTATCGCGATTGTATGCAGAGCACAATCTCACCTTATAAAACTTTTTATCAAATTCATATCCTAAATTTTCTTATTAATGAATAATTCATAAAAGTGTAAATTATAATATCTGTCTACCCACTAAATTTTGACTTGCAAAGAGAAATCCACCTAATATTCTCAAATGATTACCATCTACCAAAACCTTCCTTCCTACTAAGATTTATTAGAATGATTTACAGACAGATACCATCATACATGATAATCATATGTAGCTGGATTTTCTTTTAGTTTGTTTGCCTTCATCTGAGCGGCCTACAATACTTGTAGCTAGTATGACTAATTCTTTCTTTCAGTAAACAGCTGTAGCATACTCACAGATGATTAGCGACTTAATTATCATAGTTTGTAAGAGATTAAGGCCACTAAATTATTATTAGTTTATCCACAGTCACAGAGAATCCATTGGCTTAGGCCTAAACCAAAACCAACATCATCAACAACCCCTCAGAAAAAAGAAAAACCGGGTCCTAACATAGTAACATTCCCCGACAGCTGTGCTTTCTGTTATTTGCATTCTCAATTATTATTTATGTTTACGTGGCACCTTTCCTGATCCTACGTGTCACGTTTTGATTAGTTGCCTTTCCTCTTCCCCTTACCTTTGCTTTCGCTACCGGAAGGTCAACACTTCCCTTCCCTTCCCTGTAGTTTTCTCTCCACTTTCCCTCACCTCCCAAACACCAAAGACCCTAACTTTCCCCATTCCCATATCTCGGAAGCACTTGTTGATGACAGTGCGCGGGCCCAATTCCTGCTCTTAGCGAGAAATTTGGCTTGTGGGAAGCGCGGATTCGAAGCTTGAAACCTAGATAAGAGAGAGGCATTTCTTCAATCGGGGCAGAACCGGACAATGTCGGGCCCGCCGAGATTCCGGTCGTTGAACATCGCCGAGCCGGAGAACAAGGCCCCGAAAACCCCGGCGAAGAAGCAGCCCCGCAAGCAACAGCTGGAGGCCAATAAGGAGAGGAAATCGGGGAAAGTGGCGGCGGTTCTGCGGCAGAAATCGATGAACGCGTCCTGCTCCTCGGAAGCGTCTTCGGACTCGACGAGCAGCAGCAGCCGGGCGTCTTCGTCTTCGTCGTCGACGTTGTGGTCTGCCTCGGGTGGAATGCGCCGGAGCGTTGGCGCTGTTAAGAGGCGGCAATGTGGAGTCAAAATTGACAAGGAGGAAGAAAAAATTGGCGGCGGTGGTGGAATTGCGGCAGCGGAGGAGACTGGCGACGGTGGGTTAGCGAGTAAAGTCGATTGCTTTGATCAGAGCAAGAAGAGGTGCCCTTGGGTTACTCCTACTACTGGTGAGTCCCTGTCGATTTTAGTATTCTTTTAATATTTCCGCTTTCTGTAAGGATATGAAGAGAAAGCCTAGATTTTGTTGAACTGGTGATAGACGAATGACACCATATACTTCATTGAGTCCTTCGAATGGAAGGCGAAAAGGCAACGCTGAGCTTGGAAGCACGAATTAGAGAAAACAGCATTTAACTTCAACTCTTTTATAAGCTGTATTTTGGAACTTGACTTCCTATATCTGGTTCTAGTTACTTCACTGTGATTGTTCCAATGGGGGAAGAACTTTAGATTCATGGGTACGTGAATAATCCCGACAGCATGGAAGGCTTCCTCTTAAACCATGTTGTTATCATTGTTGCTTTGTTAGGAAATGCTGAATGTTATTTGTAATCTTCGTCAGTAAAATCATACTATGTTTAAGCCACTGTCCCGCCTTGCTACGAGTTATTGATATGATTCACAAATTTCATGAATGTTTCTTCATACGCTAGAAGTGATCGAACCTTGGCTTCTTTCATCGTTTCGGACCCATAATTCGTTGTCTTATTATGTACACTGGGTTTTGCTAACTTGGTATTTTTTCCTGTATCATGTAGAACCATGCTACACAGCATTTCATGATGAAGAATGGGGAGTGCCAGTCCATGATGACAGGTACTACCTCCAACTAGATGGGGATTTCGAGGTTTAGCCACGTGTTTTAATGCTTGCAATCTCTAAACCAGACACTCCTCACTTGCAGGAAACTCTTCGAACTACTATCTTTGTCCGGTGCCTTGGCAGAACTATCATGGCCTGCCATCCTCAATAAACGGGAGGCATTCAGGTACTATTATCATTCTCCCTGCCCTGGGTAACATTGTTGATATCTGGATAAAAATCAAAGTTAGCATGTTATTGGGTTTCTCAATAGGGATCAATGGTAATTCTTTTTGTGGTTGCAGAGAAGTGTTTCTAGGTTTTGACCCACATGTTGTGTCGAAACTGAATGGGAGGAAGGTCATCATGGCAGGAAGCCCTGCCAGCTCCCTACTACCAGAACAGAAGCTGCGATCGATCCTTGAAAATGCACGCCAAATTTGCAAGGTTTGTACTTCGTAGAATTACACCACAGGAAGTAGTAAAGGAAAAATGTGATGCATTCTAGAACTCTCAATTTGGGTTGTCAAATTCATGGCAGGTTGTAGAAGAGTTTGGGTCATTCGACAAGTACATGTGGAATTTTGTGAACCAGAAGGCCATAGTTAACCAGTTCCGGTACACCCGCCAGGTTCCAGTGAAGAATTCCAAAGCAGAGGCGATAAGCAAAGATCTTGTGAAAAGGGGATTCCGTAGCGTGGGGCCTACAGTTATATACTCGTTCATGCAAGTAGCCGGCCTAACGAACGACCATCTCGTCAGTTGCTTCCGGTACCATGAATGCATAACAGGAGCAGAATCGAAGGGAACAACTGCAGAAGGCTGTGAAGTCCAAGACGGGAAAGAAAGAAGTTAAGATGAGCCATTCAATGGATTTGTGGATAGCGAGAGAGTACTGGTGAAGTGAGAGATAAATGGTTGTGGGATTCCCTGTCGTGGTTCGTTTACCAGCTACTACTACTGCAGAATTGAACGTGGGGTAAATGCTTTGCATCTGGGAATGGAGCTTGTGTAAAAGTACTTGGAATAAAGGTGTCAAGGCAGCTCTGTACTGTATATATGTTGGTTCATTCATTGTAATGTATGCAAGATAAGTTGTATGTTCATCATCCAACAGGATTCTGGGTTTGTTTTTGGATTAATGCTAATTTGGCCCATCGACTTGGATACTTTTCTCAACTGAGACCCCGAATTTGGGTCGTTTGGAAGTTATGATTATAGATGAATGATTTTTTGAATTCATGTATTCGGGAGAATTTATTGTTTTTTTGTTCTAAAACTTTATTCAAGACATGCATTTGAGATGGGCCATCAAATCGCATATCACTCACAATCACTCATTTTAAATCTCAGCAAAAAGGTGAGATTCTTCCTTTGATGTATTGGAAGTTGTGATTCTTCAAATTGATGTATTGAGTCAATTAGTGTATTATCATTTGATGTATTAGACAAATATCTTATTTGGAGGTTTAATTTTTGTTTTATGTGTAAAGCCACAAAAGTTAACTTTGAGTGATTGGTAAGAATTTCAACAAAAAGTAAACCGCCGCCGTCTACTCTTGGTAATCCCAATCTTCGCCAGCTACATCGTTTCTCGGATACGCGTGTGGGGTCATCATTAGATACAATCTCCAAGACGGCGGCTGGCGACGTGAGCTCCAATGATATTTCAAAACCACGCATTGCTGGAAATTGGCCCGCGCCAGTCGAAGCTCCCCGTGACAAGGAAGGCAACCAGAGTGTAGGGATGGCAACAAAACCCGAACCCACGGGTACCCATCCGACACAACCCGGTCAACGCGGGTAAAATTCGCGTTGACGGGTTTTGGGCCGGATTTGGGTTTAAACCCGTTCACTATTTATCGGGTTGGGTTGGGTTTGGGTTTAGGTAAACCCGACCCATGGGTACCCGCCCACCCCCATATAATTAATTTTCTCGGTATATTTAATATTCTAAACAACTAATCTTATTTATGTTTGTGGAGATATGTCTAATTTTTCTTTCTAATTGTGTAGAACGAAGTTGATGTTATCGAGTGGAGAGTGAAGAAACTTAATTGAAAGGAAGAAGTCTTCAATTAATCATGTTATTTATGGATAATTTATGATTTGCTTCAATTTTCTTGAGGTTTCTAGATTGGTATTGAACAATTTGTGTAGTTAATTTGTGATTTGCTTGAATTTCTAGAATGGTGTTTTATGTATGAATAATTTGTATTGAGAGATTGATATTTGGTTTTAATTTTGATAGGAACTTGTTATTGTAATTTTTTACAACAAAAACCCGTGGGTACCCATGAACCCGCGGATACCCAGCGGGTTGGGTTGGGTTTGAGTTTTTCAAACCCAGTGGGATTTACCCCTTGTTTTTTTCACGGATAAATCCATGGGTTTGGGTTTGGGTTTGGCAAAACCCGACCCAACCCGACCCATTGCCATCCCTACCAGAGTGTGGGTTCGCAAGTTTGGGCCATTACCCAAACCCATTATGTGCCACAACTCAGCCCAGCTTGTGGACTGTGAGCTTGTGAGCCCAACTCAGCAAGAACATCTTGATAGCTTTCTTTCTCATACCAGCCCGTCCAATAACCAACAAAGTGCCCTTGGTAACCCCTTCTCACAAGCTCACAGACAGTTTACCAGTCAGAAATCTCACCATTTCTAAAACCAAACTTGGCGATTAGGAATGGCAATGGGTCGGGTTTTGCCAAACCCAAACTCATGGGTTTATCCGTGAAAAAAATCCCGGGTAAAACCCACTGGGTTCGAAAAATTCAATCCCAACCCAACACGCTGGGTATCCGCGGGTTCATGGGTACCCACGGGTTTTTGTCGTAAAAAATTTACAATAACAAGTTCCTATCAAAATTAAAGTCAAATATCAATCTCTAAATACAAATTATCCATATATAAAACACCATTCTAGAAAATTCAAGCAAATCACAAATTAACTATACAAATTGTTCAACACCAATCTAGAAAACTCAAGATAATTGAAGCAAATCACAAATTATCCATAAAGAACATGATTAATTGAAAGCTTATTCCTTTCAGTTAAGTTTCCTCACTCTCTACTCGATAACATCAACTTCATTCTACACAATTCGAAAGAAAAAATTAGACATGTCTCCACAAACATAAATAAGACTAGTTGTTTAGAATATTAAATATATCGAGAAAATTAATTATATGGGTGTTGGCGGGTACCCAGGGGTCGGGTTTACCTAAACCCAAACCCAGCCCGATGAATACTGAACAGATTAAAACCCAAACCCGGCCCAAAACCCGTCAACACTTATTTTACCCACGTTGACCCCCACCATACCTTTACACTATATCATGTCCTCCCTCCTTTCTCAGATCCCCAATCATCACCTTACTCCAAGTAACTCCCAGAGCACCAGCAACCCTGTCCTCATGCTTGGCAAAACCCTCCACCCTCACCTGGCTCACCCTAGCTTTGACCTCTTTTGGCCGAGGCTCTCCTTTCTGTTGCAACCTCTTTTCCCTGTCACCACTATCAAATTTCTATCCTCACCACCTATCATCCTTCCTTCCCATTCCAGACCCTTTCCCTCGCCTTGCCACTATCCTCCAGCCTTTCTTTAACCAATATCCTTACCTCCAGTCCCCCTTCCTAGCTGAGCTTCTTACCGATTCCCCTCTTAATCTCACTTCATTCCTCACAGATTACAGCCCTTCCCCTGAACCCAACCTCCCGTCAAACCCTCAGCCCAACCAGCCCGATCACCTGTCTTCCCCTGACCCAAATCCTTGCTCTGGTAACTCGCCTCCCGCCATGGATGATAACCCACTGGCAATTTTGGAGTACCAACCGATTGGGCAAGAGTACCTTCAAGACTGGCAGGAAGAGCAAGACTTATACCGCCTTATTGATAAAAGCCTGACTTTCTGCCATTTTCTCAATCTCTCGACCAAGGGCCAGGAGAATGAAGCTAACAGTCAAATTAGAGAATTAGCAACCAAGACAAAAAGACGGAGGAAACGAGTGCCCAGGACTAAACTTCAGATGGAGGTGCATCTCCTGGGGCCCCAAGAAGATTCCCCTTCAACGCTGAGAATAAGGAAGAATTCAAGTCGTGTGGGAGATTGTCTGAGTTCATCAAGGTTTGTTGTTAAGTCCACATCATCATGATGAATCAATCACTCATAGCATGGAACGTTCGGGGCCTAGGCGTCCCCGATAAGAGGGCAAGAGTTAAAGGGATTTTAAGGAGGTCTTGTGCTACGATTGTGGCACTAACGGAAACAAAATGGAATGTTTACTCTCGACAGTTGATCGCCTCAGTTGGTGGAAGTAGATCAGCAAAATGGATGGCAAAAGATGTTGTTAATTCCAAGGGCGGAATAGCAATCTTCTGGGAGGAGGCGGATTTTGAGCTGCTAGATACTTGGGAAGGAAAATTTTCCCTTGCTATTAGGCTCAAACCTGCAGGAGTTAATGATATCTTCGCAGTGATGGTTGTGTATGGACCGCAGAAGAAGGATGGCAAGTTAGCCTTTATCAATGAATAAAACATGGTCTGTCAAAGATATACTGCTCCTTTGTGCATAATTGGCGACTTCAATCTGGTCCGATCAGATGAAGACTTCAGAGGCTGGCCTAGGAATAATGAGGTAATGGCTGAGTTTAACAGCTTCATGAACTCAAACAGTATGATCGATTTGCCTTTGAAAGGGGCCTTATTTATTTGGAGTAACGGCGGAACAAATGCCTCTTTTTCCCGCATCGATAGAGCATTAATCAACCCCAAATTTGGAGAGGCTTTCTCACCCGGTCCCCTCTTAGCTCTCGAAAGGGTAGAATCGGATCACAACCCGATCCTACTACGATGGGGGAACATTGATAGAATTGTCCGCCCCTAGAAGTTCGAAAATATGTGGCTCAAAGATCAGAACTTCCTTCAGCAGCTGATTGGCTGGTGGAGCGTCCCGATAAATGGATCAGGGTATTTGTTCAGGATCGGACAAAGGATGAGGAATGTGAAATTCCTTATTAAAGAATGGAATGTTGAGTGTTTCGAGAAAGTTGAAAGGAAGATTGCAGAACTGTTAAGGAAGATAAAAGTTATTGATGGTTTGGAAGAACATGGGCCTATAACAGAGGCTGCCAATTTAGAGAGAAGAATGCTGAAATGTGAGTTGGATAGAGTCCTTTTGATGGAAGAAATCTCCTGGCGGCAAAAATCTCGCACTCTGTGGCTTAAAGTGGGAGATAAAAATACTGATTTTTTCCACCGAATGGCAAAGAATAACAGAAGAAGAAATATTGTGAGGAATCAGAAGGTGGAAGGAAGAATAATCGATGATAAAGATCAGCTGAAACAAGCCTTTGTGACACACTTCGTTGATCGGTTCAGAGAAGATAACAAGAACAGACCTTTCCCGGAAAGAGTTCAAAGTAGGTTTGTTCGGTGTGGAAGAAAATCAGCAGCTCACATCTCCTTTTACTGAAGCGGAGATTTGGAAAGCGATCTGTTCTTGTAATGGTGACAAGGCACCGGGGCCGGATGGCTTCACACTTGCTTTTTTCAAAAAATCATGGAGTATCATCAAGAAAGACGTAGTAAAAGCCCTTGATGAGTTCCACTTAACTGGAGTTCTTCCACACTCAATTGTGCACTCGTTCCTATGCATGATACCTGTTGATATGACTTGAATCGGATTATCAGCCGCTACGACTGGTAATCAGGGGTCTCGCTGCCCGGTCAGCGAGTGGGGTTCAGGGGCAACGCCCCGGTGGGGGTGCGGGGGCAACGCCCCCGGCCCACGGTGTATGGGCTCAATGTTATTTGGGTTCGGGTTCTGGGCCTGGTCTGTAACCGTTTCCTTTGCCAGATTGGATTAGGTTTAGACCCACATGGAGAAGTACTATAAATACTTCTCATACTCCTCTGTAATCTGTAAACTCCTTGATATAGTGAAACTGGCTCTCTCTCGCACGTGGACGTAGCTAACACACATCGTGTTAGTGAACCACGTAAATCGTGTGTCGTGTTTTCGATTCTCGCTTTCGTATTCTTGCTTTGTCGATTCCTGCGATTTCCCGATCCGTAGCAGCGCGTCTATAACAAGTGGTATCAGAGCCTGGTTGGAAATCAGGCTAGGGTTTTCGATTAAGAAGAATGACGTCGGTGAACATGAAGATCGAAAAGTTCACGGGGAAGAACAGCTTCGCTATATGGCAGATCAAGATGCAGGCTTTATTAAAACAGCAAGGGCTGTGGGGGCCGCTGTCTGCGAAACAGAAGAAGGCAGCGGTCGATGACGATGAGTGGAACACCCTGGAGGAGAAGGCCCACTCGACCATCATGCTATCGTTGTCTGATGGCGTCATCATTGAAGTCGCTGCTGAGAAGACTGTCGCGGGCTTGTGGTTAAAGTTGGAGAGTCTGTATATGACGAAGTCCTTAACCAACAAGCTGCATCTCAAGCAACGGTTGTTCAGCTTGAGGATGCAAGAAGGTACGCCTTTGAGGGAACATCCCGAACAGCTTAACTCTATTTTGCTGGATCTGCGTAATATAGATGTTCAAGTTGATGACGAGGATACTGCCCTAATCCTGCTGGTTTCTTTGCCGAGTTCATATGAGAATTTCGTTGATTCTTTTATTGCTGGTAAAGAAAGCGTGTCGTTGGAGGATGTCAGGTCTGCTCTTCATACGAGAGAGATCAGACATAAGGCGTCTGGATCTGGTACAGGTGGTGAGGCATCGGGTTTGGCTGTTACAGGTGAAAGGGAAAGAAGAAATCCAGTAAAGGGAATTCAAACAAGAATTCGAAGGGTCCTGGTCCACAGCCAGGTGATGCTTGTCACAACTGTAAGGAAGTGGGGCATTGGAAGTACAACTGTCCCAAGAGAAGAGGGCAACAGAAGAAACAAGGTTCAGTTGCCGTGGCAGAAGTGGACAACAGTTCTGAAGACGATCTCGCCTTGGCTGTAGATGAGAAGGCACATCGTGGGGATGTGTGGTTTCTGGATACTGCAGCCTCATACCATATGTCTCCGAACAGGGATTGCTACACAACCTACGAGCAGATAGATGGTGGTAACGTGGTCATGGCAAATGGAGCTGTCTGCAAGGTTGTTGGAATCGGGTCCATAAAGGTTCGGACACATGATGGTTCGTTCTGTACCGTGAATGATGTCAGGCATGTTCCACGAATGACAAAGAACCTGATCTCCTTGAGTCTACTCGACAGCAAGGGTTTCAGTTTCAAAGGAAAAGGTGGAGTTGTGTATGTCTGCAAAGGTTCAAGGATGGTGCTGAAGGGCGTGAAGCGTGGGACCTTGTATGCATTACAAGGGTCTGTGTTGTCTGGTTCTGCTGCCGTTGCATCGTCTCAGGTTCATCAGGAAGATATGACCACTCTCTGGCACATGAGACTGGGGCATATGAGTGAACGGGGGATGCAAGTTCTGTCGAAGAGGGATCTTCTTTACGGGCACAGGATGCAGAATTTGGAATTCTGCGAGCATTGTGTGTTTGGGAAGCTACATCGCAGCAAGTTTCCCAAAAAGGGTATCCACCGGACGAAGGGGATACTGGATTACCTCCACTCCGACTGTTGGGGTCCTTCACAAGTTGAATCCATTGGAGGCAGCAGGTATTTTCTGTCTATTATTGATGATTATTCGAGATTTACTAGGATTTTCATGATGAAGCAGAAAAGTGAGGCTTTCACGAAGTTCAAGCAGTGGAAGACATTGGTGGAGAATCAGACTGGGAAGAAGATCAAGAAGCTGCGAACGGACAATGGTCTAGAGTTCTGTAATTCTGAGTTCAATGAATTCTGCAAGGATGAAGGGATTGCCCGTCATCGGACTGTGAGAGATACACCCCAGCAGAATGGCGTTGCCGAAAGGATGAACCAGACATTGTTGGAGAGAGCACGGTGCATGCTCTCTAATGCTGGACTAGAGAGAAGATTCTGGGCAGAAGCAGTGAACATGGCGTGCTTCCTGATCAACCGTGGACCTCACACAGGTATCGAGTTGAAGACTCCTTATGAGGTGTGGTATGGTAAGCCTGCGGATTACTCTTCACTGAAAGTTTTTGGGTGTCCTGTTTATTATCATGTGGATGAGGGTAAACTGAACCCAAGGGCAAAGAAGGGTGTTTTTTTGGGTTACGGAGATGGAGTTAAGGGATTTCGAGTCTGGTCACCTTCTGAGCATCGAGTTATACTCAGTAGAAATGTGATATTTGATGAGAAGTATATGTTTAACCCCATGTTGAAGGTTACTGTTGTTGAAGGTAGCAGGAATGTTGATAAGCAGGTGGAGCTGCAAACTCTCAATGAGAGTGAGTTTGAGCACCAAGGTGGAGAAGATCAACATGATGAGAATGTCTCTGCAGAGCCAGAAACTTCAGAGTCCAGTGCACGAGCTCAACAGTCTATGACTTCCGGTAGACCGAAGAGAGCGACTGCAGGAGTACCTCCACAGAGGTATGGTTTCGAGGACATGGTGGCTTATTCATTTCAGGTTGCTGAAGAAGTGGATGCAGGAGAGCCACAGTTCTATAGAGAAGCCGTTTCGGGTGGCGAAGCTGATCAGTGGCTTGCCGCAATGGGAGATGAGATGGAATCCCATGACAGGAATCAGACTTGGGAGCTAGTCAAACGACCACAGGGAAGGAAGATTGTTACAAACAAGTGGATCTACAAGAAGAAGGAAGGAATCACTTCTAAAGAGGGCATGAAATTTAAAGCTCGGGTGGTTGCACGAGGCTTCTCGCAAAGGGAAGGAGTTGACTACAATGAGATTTTCTCACCAGTGGTCAGACATACTTCGATCAGAGTGCTACTAGCAATAGTGGCACATTATGACTTGGAGCTCGAGCAGCTAGACGTGAAGACAGCTTTCCTACATGGAGAGTTGGAGGAAGAAATTTACATGACTCAGCCAGAAGGATTCGAGGTTCCTGGAAAAGAAGACTATGTTTGTAAGCTGAAGAAGTCCTTGTATGGACTTAAGCAGTCTCCGAGGCAGTGGTACAAGAGATTTGACAGTTACATGCTTGAGCTGGGCTATAGCAGAAGTCCATATGATTGTTGTGTGTATCACAACAAGGTGGAGGATGGTTCGATGATCTATCTTGTTCTGTATGTGGATGATATGCTCATAGCTGCGAGGTCGAAGTCTGATATCCAGAAGTTAAAGGGGCTTCTCAGTGCTGAGTTTGAGATGAAGGATTTGGGAGCTGCTCAGAAGATCTTGGGTATGGAGATTTACAGGGACAGGTCGAAGAAGAAGCTTTTCTTGTCACAGAAGAGCTACATCCAGAAGATACTGTCGAGGTTTGGCATGTCTTCAGCAAAGCCCTTAAATACTCCTAGTGCTTCAAATGTTCATCTATCCTCAGCTTATGCACCACAGTCGGAGGCTGAGAAGGAGTACATGTCGAGAGTCCCATATGCTAGTGCAGTAGGTAGCTTGATGTACGCTATGGTATGCACTAGACCTGATCTTGCACATGCTGTTAGTGTTGTCAGCAGGTTTATGATACAACCTGGGAAGGAGCATTGGCAGGCTGTGAAGAGGATCTTTCGGTACCTTAAGGGTACACCTGATGTGGGGATTAGCTTCGGAAGTGATACAGAGTGCTTGGTGTCTGGGTATTCTGACTCGGACTATGCTGGAGATGTTGACACGAGGAGATCGATGACCGGTTATGTATTCACTCTTGGGAGTTCTGTAGTGAGCTGGAAGGCAACTTTGCAGTCAGCGGTGACATTGTCTACTACTGAGGCAGAGTATATGGCGTTGACAGAAGCTGCTAAGGAGGGAATATGGTTGAAGGGACTGGTTGGTGATCTTGGTCTACATCATGATCAGGCAGTGGTGTATTGCAACAGTTTGAGTGCAATATGCTTGGCCAAGGATCAAGTCCACCATGAGAGGACTAAGCACATCGATGTGAGGTATCATTTCTTGAGGACAGAGAAGAGGATTAAGGTGAAGAAGGTTGGCACCGCGGATAATCCTGCTGATATGTTCACGAAGCCGGTTCCACATGGCAAGTTCCAACACTGCTTGGACTTGCTGAATGTCTTGAGTGGGTGACTCCGCCCTGCGGGGCATTGATGGCGGGAGAGAGAGATAGAAGGATCAGAGTACATTAGAGATTTCAGAGGAAGAGGATTCAAGTCAAGGTGGAGATTTGTTGATATGACTTGAATCGGATTATCAGCCGCTACGACTGGTAATCGGGGGTCTCGCTGCCCGGTCAGCGAGTGGGGTCCAGGGGCAACGCCCCGGTGGGGGTGCGGGGACAACGCCCCCAGCCCACGATGTATGGGCTCAATGTTATTTGGGTTCGGGTTCTGGGCCTGGTCTGTAACCGTTTCCTTTGCCAGATTGGATTAGGTTTAGACCCACATGGAGAAGTACTATAAATACTTCTCATACTCCTCTGTAATCTGTAATCTCCTTGATATAGTGAAACTGGCTCTCTCTCGCCCGTGGACGTAGCTAACACACATCGTGTTAGTGAACCACGTAAATAGTGTGTCGTGTTTTCGATTCTCGCTTTCGTATTCTTGCTTTGTCGATTCCTGCGATTTCCCGATCCGTAGCAACGCGTCTATAACAATACCAAAAAAAAAGCTGTTGAGGAGATTAAAAACTTACGTCCTATAAGTCTGCTTGGAAGCATAAACAAAATCATCTAAAAAGTGGTACTTGGGAGACTACAACAACACATGGAGAAGATGGGTTCACAGTTTCAGTTTGCTGGCCGGAAGAGATCCCAATGCCATATGGCCGGAAGAGATCCCAATCCCAATGCCATATGCCAATGAGGTGCTTGATAGTCCAAACGGAGCGGAAAGTCGGGTATCATCCTCAAACTGGATATTGAGAAAGCTTTTGACTCTGTAAGTTGGGA